TGACCCATGAACCATGAAAACGAGGTCATGGTCAGATGAACCATGCCAGGCAGGCATGTAAAGCTAACAAATCTTCCATACAACAAATATAGTTGACCTATTGCTTATAGTTTAAGAAAAACAGACCAAAACACAAAAACTTAACACTGAGCAATGAACTGTGAAAATGAGGTCAAGGTCAAATAAAACCTGCGCGACTGACATATAGATCATAAAATATTGCCATACACCAAATATAGTTGACCTATTGCATATAGTATTAGAAAAAAAGACCAAAACTCAAAATCTTAACTTTGACCACTGAACCATGAAAATGAGGTCAAGGTCAAATGACACCTGCCAGCTAGACATGTACACCTTACAATCATTCCATACACCAAATATAGTAGACCTATTGCAATTGCATACAGTATAAGAAAAACAGACCAAAACACAAAAACTTAACTAGAACCACTGAACCACGAAAATGAGGTCAAGGTCAGATGACACCAGCCAGTTGGACATGTACACCTTACAGTCCTTCCATACACCGTATATACTTGACCTATTGCTGATAGTATCTGAGATATGGACTTGACCACCAAAACTTAACCTTGTTCACTGATCCATGAAATGAGGTCGAGGTCAAGTGAAAACTGTCTGACGGGCATGAGGACCTTGCAAGGTACGCACATACCAAATATAGTTATCCTTCTCCTTATAATAAGAGAGAATTTAACATTACAAAAAATTTTAACTTTTTTTTCAAGTAGTCACTGAACCATGAAAATGAGGTCAAGGACATTGGACATGTGACTGACGGAAACTTCGTAACATGAGGCATCCATATACAAAGTATGAAGCATCCAGATCTTCCATCTTCTAAAATATAAAGCTTTTAAGAAGTTAGCTAACGCCGCCGCCGCCGCCGGATCACTATCCCTATGTCGAGCTTTCTGCGACAAAAGTCGCAGGCTCGACAAAAATTACTTCATATTTGATCAGCAACTCAGCATTGATGAGTTGTATCGGGTAAACTGTGCCCGACACGTTCTTCCCGTTTACTTTGATACTTTGAAATGAGAATACGAATATACTTAGCAAGACACCACGTGCTTAATTTGTTCGCATTCTGTTTAAGAAGTAACAACACAATGTAATATCCAGAAATTAGTTCAAAATGTTATTATGCCTTAGTGTAGAGTGAAACAAGAATATAAAAATTTGAACTTGTTTCCCTTAGATATATACTATATAGTAGTTCTTTGTCCGCTTATCGTCCATAGCAGACACAGTTAACATCTTACATCTGCATCATTTAGCCTCTGGTGGATATTTGTCTCATTGACAATCATACCACATCTCCTTATTTTATACAGAGTGCCTTTATCGAATATATTTTTCTCCAACCCAGGAATATGTTTGGCTGTGTATATATGTATCTGTATGCTGTCACAACTGGAATGGTAACATTAAATCTGTGTATTGTGTAGGGAAATTTCTATAACTGAATTTACACATTAAAAAACACTTGCAACAACTTTAGAGGATTGAGTATGTACATGTAGGTGGACTGTTGCAAGAGAAAATTTCTGCCCTTATCTGTAATTATCCTTTTTCTGTAGCAATTCGTGTGTCTCTTCGTTATCCTGGTCGATCCTTAGAATCTACTTATTTGATTAACTGTGAATTTTTTTCCTGAATGACCATGAAATACTCATCACTGAACGGTCAGTCAGCAAACAACAATCAATCAAATGTCCAAAAGCGAAAATTAAATTGACAAACATGAATTAGGAGGCGGTTAGAATCGTATAATTTTTTAACAAAGCGACATCAATTATTTCTGACCGACCGTGCAAGACCCTCATGGGTAGTCAAGGTCGTTAAAAACCCCCTCGTCATCAATTATTTACATACGAAACTTCATTTGGTTTTATGTTCATTCTTTTTAATAAGACAAAAAAAATAAACAAATGTACAATTCCACAATTGTAGCTTTCCTTTTTTGGTAGCATTTCTGATTCAGAATGAAATTTCAAAATCGCATTCTGATGAAACATATACAGTTAACTTTTATAGAGATAGTTACAATGTACTTAATTTTATTTTACGATCCTATTAACTTCTCCTGTTTCAAAATTAATAGGAGACAATCTACTCGTGTGATATTGCTCACATCTTTTAACACGCAGAAACTCCCCTTTGTTATTTAATATTTGTGTCATTGGGTTTTCAGGTCATTTTAAAATATCGAACTCTAGAAGTACTGATATTTGTCCTTGATGTTTTAAAGAAAAAAAACTTGACCTTGAATGATGCAATACACCTTTTGATAAAAAAAAAGGGGGGGGGGAGTGCAATTTTCATATCTGTAAATAAGGAATATTTTTGTTTAATTGTTTGAAGCTGTCACATTGCAATACCAATTTTTCATTCTTCAGAACTCCGCCATTGCATTACGGATAAACATTGATGTAAATTCCAACGGACACGTGGACACACCTACGTACAAAATAAGGTACAAAGATTGAATAAGAAACTGTGCGAGAAGCCAACCATTGACATAAACATTGGCATGCATACAATGTATTAGTAAAACACAGAAAACAAATAGAGGTACAAATGTGCATTGTCTTTATCCTTCTGTACTGGTATCAATATTTACTCTGTGTTTAAGAATATATAGTGACGTAAGATGAAAAACAGCAATATAAAAGTGCCCTCTCTTTGCGTTTTCCCCCGTAAGTATTTGGATTATGTGTCACGAATCGATACATCATATTATCTTTTTATTAAGAATGTTTGCTATTCACACAGTTTATGATTTTAAATATTTGTTCCAACCCTTCCTCAAATTCAAACAAATGCAACAATACCCCACATTTTACTAAGCGTTTTCGAATGCAATTTTGTAAATGCATAAATTAAACTTTGACGAGTAAACACATGCAAGCAAACATGTTCAACCCTGCCACATTCAATATGTGCCTGCCAAAAGTCAAGAGCCTGTAATTCAGTGGTTGTAGTTTGTTGCTTTTCATTATATTTGTTTTTCGTTTATTGTTTTGTACATAAATCAGGCCGTTAGTTTTTGAACTGTTTTGCATTTGTCATTTCGGGGCCTTTAATAGCTTACTATAAGGTATGGGTTTTGCTCATTGCTGGTGACCTATAGTTATTAACTTCTACTTCATTTGGTATCTGGTGGAGAGTTGTCTCGTTGGCAACCATACCATCTTCTATTTTGACATTGTAATTATACGAAGCCAAATCTGTTCCATCTCCAAACATCATTGTATACGGAATCATAGCTTAAGTTGACAAAGACAAGTGGTTGTGATGTTATGCTATCAACTATAATTGAAAAATTGAAAAAAAATGAGAACACAATGTATTTGTTTTCATCAAAAAAGTTAGATATAGGACATGGGCCATGTCATGGAGTATATTGTATTGGTTCGAAATCCTTAAAAGTTATGAGAATTCTTTTAATAAATCGTTAGCAAACTACAATTGTTATATCTATTATAATTAATTTATTATTTTTGTATTCAGGTTTAAGCGCAGGACGATTATGCCTCTCTCTGCAATTTGTAAAGGCATTACCTCCAGTAATAAGTTTCAAAGAAATTATTTTTTGTGTTTTCTTCTTAGTTGACATTCATCGCTAGTGCCAGAGGCAGAAAAAGATTCAAAAAGTTTCATACTGTTTAGCCTTATGTCAGTATTATTCTATATAGCTGCATTTAATAAATTTAATAAATATGAATTGTTATATGTTATAGTTTATATGATATTAATTGCCGGTTAGTTTGTCCACACGGCAAATGGTATAGAAATGAGTTGACTTATTTATTATGCTGTAAAAAGTTTTGCATTATGGTATTTTGGTACGTCAACATTTTTAGTATGTTAGGTCCATCTACTATTGTACAATAAATACTGATGTATTGTTTGTAAAATGTTTGGAATGTATTTGTAATTTTATCATATAAATGCTTTGTAAAAAAAAATAATAATTCGGTTTGCATCTTTTGCTATGTTGAATGGATGATTTGCATGGAGATGTCTGCCAAATATTGAAACTTTTGAAGAAGAAAAAATACTTTATATTTTCTCTCATTTTTTTTTTTTTTTTTTTGCATGGAGTATTTCATTTGCGCTACAAGGTTATAATTCAGTAAGGCAACACGTCTCCAAGCAGTGTCGATTAGAAAACAAAAATAATTCAACAAGTGGGTATTAATTAGATTTGTTTAGCACCAATCTTATATTTTAAAATAGAACAAAGTATTTAATTTATCAGCACTCGATACGAAATAGTCAAGAAAAATTTCGACAGAAACACGTTTTTCCTACTTTTAAAGATCGTTCAAATAAAGTTTGCCGACAACGTACGTATATTGTTTACCAGAAACGATATTTGCATTTAGCCCGATTTAAGTTGCAGTGATAACATTCATTTTTTGTCTCTATTGAGACATGTGGTCTAATTAAAAAAAAAGGTATCATCGATCCCCACTAACAAAAATTACTGTTTCATCGGAAAACAAGTAATCATATATAAATAACACATTTAAATAAGATGCTAGGTTTAAGTTTTAATGATAAAATATTCTGATAAGGTATGTTGTTTACAACATGCCAAAAGAGCTGGCTTGTTGTCTTTCTAAACAAAATAAAATAGTTAATGCTTACACGAAATAAAATATCATGTATGTTTTACAAACTTATTTAAATTTGTAATGGATGGTGAAAAATAGGGATGACGTTTTAAACTTCAGTGTAATTTTCACTTTCAAAACAATTTGAAATCGAGATATATGTATAAATTTCAAACAAACTACGTCAAAAGATATATCAAATTTGTTTGACACAATTTAAATGTGGTGATCTGGTCACAGAGATGCTATAAAAGCTCCATCCACAAAGCAGTCCAACCATTGTCTTATAGACACTGTTAACCAACAGCGTCAAATATTTAAGGATAACAAAATAAGTTTCTGTTGGTTATCAAAATGAAAAGAGTCGCAATTATCGGTGCAGGATGCAGTGGTTTAACTGCTATTAAATGTTGCTTAGACGAAGGGTTACTGCCAGTCTGCTTTGAACGTGAAGATGATATTGGGGGACTTTGGAATTATACAGACAGTGCCAAATATGGAAAAGGCAGTGTTTATAAATCGTGCGTTATCAACACCAGCAAAGAAATGATGGCGTTTAGTGACTTTCCTCCTCCGAAACATTTTCCAACGTTTTTACCACATAAATACGTGCTAGAGTATTTTAGACTTTATGCAAAGAATTTTGGACTTTTGAATTACATAAACTTTAAAACTTCAATAGAGAGTATTGAGCAATGTCCAGACTTTGAACAGACCGGAAGATGGAAAGTGACATATCATTCCGCCAAAACCGGACAAACTGTCTCCGAAGTATTCGATGGTGTAATGGTCTGTAGCGGACACCATACGCATCCGTTCCTGCCTGCGTTTGATGGTGTAGAAAAGTTCCATGGTACGACCATGCATTCTCATAGCTACCGAAGTCCTCAACAGTTTACAGACAAAAAAGTTCTGGTCGTTGGTAAGTTGAAAAAACAAATATTGCAATATTTCAAATTTATTTTTTAAATTCTTTAATAAGACCATTCAACTAAACTCTCCGTCCTTTGGTCTCTGGTGAACAGTTGTCTTATTGGAAACCTATCACATCATCTATTTTTATATATAAACTAAGTGTTATACAGCTTTCTTTTTTTAAAACTAATATCTTATAAATTTCTTGATAGAGAATCCAATATATATTACGAAATTGATTTTTTTGGCTGAAAAAAAAAGAAAAATATTGATGGATTCTTTCATATTTATAATTTGCTATTTTTTATGATTCTTTAATTATATAAATATGAATAATTAAAATGTTTAAATGTTTTATTTTATAGGAATTGGAAATTCAGCAGTAGATATAGCAGCTGATTTGACCAATACAGCATCACAGGTAGGTCCTAATATTTTTTTATTGTAACTGACGACACTAAAGTTTAGACGTTTGCACATGTTTAAGGAATGACTGCAATATTTTTTCTGTCTATGAAGAAATAACATAAAAAATGTGGTGCACACTGAATAACCCGCGTAGCTTAAGATATTTCTTATGTGATTTACTGTTTTGCACTGTTGTCTTATACCAATTCAAAATAGGAATTTTTATTTCATTTATCCTTTATAATATTTTAATCTTTGTTCATAAGTATGTTTTGATGTCATTGCTTTTGAAATTGTGGTATAGACTGTATTCACATCTTAATGAGTTCTATTTTGATTCATTCTTTAGGTATACCTAAGTACAAGACGTGGAGCATGGGTTATAAGTCGCAAAGGATTCTGGGGACTTCCGTCAGATGCTGTTGCAAATAATCGTCTGCTGTTCCAGTTACCAAGAAATGTATTACAATGGTCTGTGGAGAAAATGGCGAACTTCAACTTCGATCATGAAACCTATGGCGTCAAACCAACTCACAGGTACTAACAGATTATCATTTATTTATTCATTCATTTGTTTATTTTATTATTTTTACTTATTCTATATATTTAAATTAGAAGTTTCCTTAGCAATGACTCTTTTAAGCGTTATAGTATTCATCCATTCGTTCTTGTCCAATATACATAATGACAATAACTCCATATAAGGTCATGTTATAGAATATTAACCAACCAATTAGAATATTTTAACATCATATATCGAAATTTTTAATGAATTTAATTTTTTCTATTTGCAGACCATTAGATGCTCATCCGACAATCAATGACGAGCTGCCTACAAAGATAATGACAGGAAAAATCAAAATAAAACCAAACGTCCATAACTTTGATGATTCCGGAGTTGTCTTTCATGACGGAAGCCATGAAAAGGTTGATGCTGTCATATTTGCTACTGGCTATTCTTACAAAATCAAGTTTCTGGACGAGTCCATTGTCAATATCAATAAGAACCAGACCTGTCTCTACAAATACATGTATCCACCACACCTACGGCACCCAACACTAGCTGTAATTGGATTGGTCCAAGCTGTTGGTGCAGTAATGCCGATTTCAGAAATGCAATGCAGATGGTACACAAGAGTTCTCAAAGGTAAGTTTGACATATTTTTATGCGTTATTCAAATTGCTTTTCGTTAAAAAAAATCCTCAATAAATGTGATATTCAATTGGATTTGTGCAAATTAAAGACAAGCATACCTACCTTTTATCAGATATCAAATATGTGCATGACAATTGGCGGAACTATTTTGGCGATTTGGATTCCAACGCCAAATTAAGGAAAAATCCGCAAAATCCGCAAATTAAACCCGCTATACGATAAAATAGGAAACGTTTCAATATTTTATAGACATTGTTTTACAAGCTATTCTGAATTACTCGATGTTACGTCGATCCTACAATTATGATGACGAAAATTGCCATACATATTGGATGTTTATAGTTACAATTTATATAATATTATAGGTTCTAACACGCTGCCATCTGTTCCCGCAATGATGTCAGATATTCAAACCAAACAAGACCATAACAACATGTATGTCAAGTCACAACGACACACAATACAGGTACGTCTATAAACCATAAAATCATTATACGACGTCCGTAATCTATTACTTGGTCTTTAATATGGTCGTTTGTTTGTATTTTCTTTACATGTTGGTAGGAAATTTATTTTCTTTCCATTTTGGTATGAAATTTACATACAAAGTTGTTTTTCTGGTACTAGACATTTCGTTCATCTATTAATTCATTTTCATTTTGCGACAACGCTTGAGAAACAAATTTTTTCAGTACGAATCCGTAGAAAATATTACAAAAAACTCAACATCCATGCACCAGATGGACAATCCGGGAATTCGTTAGTTCTTTAATACATTTACCTTTGGTCATCAAAGCGCAGTTTTGACTTTTCTGTATTTTTCCTCCATAATCTTTAGCTAGATCTTAAATGGGCCTTGGACTCGAGTAGCTAGCTCATGAATTGATATGGATATCATAAATTTATATCTAAAAAGGGGTATTCCAAACGGTCTAACGATAAATTAAATGATCATTTCGTTATATTAATCTTATCAAAAGAATATACACACAAGAAATGTATGTTTTCTTCTTTGCGACAATCAGTAAACACAGAAATATATTTTTGTTTGTTTTATATTTTCAAATTTATTATGACCTTATTATATTTATTTGATTATTTCAGACTTTCTGGATTGACTATATGGATGAGATTGCAGAAGAGGTTGGATGTAAACCAGATTTTAAATCCTTATTCCTGCAGGACCCCAAGCTAACTTTGCATTGTTTACTTGGGCCATGTTTTCCGGCACAATATAGACTTAATGGACCAGGGAAATGGAACGGTGCTAAAACGTCAATTTGCGGTGGTATGGAACGGTCTCTGGCACCACTAAAATCATCCAACGTTCTGCCAAAAAATGCCAAATTAGTGGACGACTGCTCACGTGACATTTGTATAACTATTCCGAAATGGCTGACTTCATATTTCCTTTTACTTTTTGTAGTATTTTTGTTGTTTTGTGTATGTCTTGTTTGAGCAATTTAAAAAATGTATATGATTGTCTTTCAAAGAAACTGTGATAAAAGTTTTTAAAGTTCTTATGATTTGTAGATAAAATGAATGTTCTAATTCATTTTTAATGCCTTTTTTATAATATTTGTTTTCCTGATGTAAGAAACTTCTTTGTGCCAAATAGGAATTCAATAAAACCTAAACCATTATATTTACAGGTTTATTATTATTGTGTGTGCAACAATTCACATAAGTATAGGAAATAAACGAGAATTCTCTCTCTTTGTTCGTAATTGTTAATTAAAATAAGTTTCACTGACGTCCATTCTGTGAAACATTAGTGCTTTTTGCTTTTAGAATTCAGTATTTACATGTACAGTGTCATGGAATATTTTGATAGCATATTTCGCAAGTAGCCCACCCATTTACACCTGGGATAAGACCGGACCCAATGCTTTAACAATTCGATATTATCTTGGTTTCATGTATATGAGTATTAAGAGTATTATTATATATCCGGTATGTGGGTATAAATATAATAGAAAAGAAAGGATATGGGGTTACCATCAATGTCAAAAAATAGGTATATGCACATCAAAAACACAAAAAGCATGCAAAGGAACAGCTCATTTATTTCTGTTCTTCATCTAAAAGTCACAGTGAAGCCTTCAACACGAAGCAAAAGAACCCTCACTCCACTGCAAGTTTAAGACGGTCCCTAGCACCATATACATGATATATAAAAGTACCAGTTTGTAAGGGTACATACTGCTCAATCTGTAGGTTTCTGTAAGGGTACATACTGCTCAATCTGTAGGTTTCTGTAAGGGGTACATACTGCTCAATCTGTAGGTTTCTGTAAGGGATACATACTGTTCAATCCGTAGGTTTCTGTAAGGTTTGTTGTCGTTTGACATTTGTCTTTTCGTCGTTTTCCTTTTTTGGCAATAATACTGTTTTCATTCGACTTATGCTTTTTTTTACTTCTCCCTTAGTATATTTTCCCTTTTTGCATAAGCCTACTACCAGACAACATGAAAAATACTCTGGTATAGTTTATTCATTATTCTTTTCAAAAAGGATTAATTCATTGATTGCTTAACAACCAGTGGCAAATATTTCATGCATATTCAAGACGAAAACAACTTAATGATAAATCATAATTTATACAATAGGTAGGCTCTGGAAGGTATGGGATTTTGGAATACCATTAGACAATGAGGGTATGTTGGATAGGGACAGACATTTTCTCAATCCAAGTCAACCCTTGGGATACAACTTCTATCAATCCTGGCTGTTAATTATTCACAACTTGAATTGAGAATGGAAATGGGGAATGCGTCAGAGACAACAACCCTACCAAAGAGCAGAAAACAGTCCAAGGTCACCAGTGGGTCTTCAACACGGCGAGAAAATCCCCTGCACCGAGAGACCCTAACCTTATTTTCAACTTAACTTTACTCGATGTGATTTAAAGCTTGACATTTTCTCCAAATACTGGACTGTTTTGGCTGCTTTTGTTAAGGTCTTTTATAATACCAAACTTGGACTTCAGCGTACCTTTATATGGAGATAATGCAATGAGAATATAAATTTGAAGAACCCAGATCCTTTATTTCAGTTTCTATATGGTATTCAAAATGTATGGAAGTATGATTAAAAAAATAAAACGATTGGATGTAAGTGCAATACATTGGAAAGAAAGATGGATGTCATTTCCTACGGAAAATTTTATGTTTTACTCGTTTTTTTGTTTGTCTATTGGTGTTAGACGCCATTTTTAATGAATATGGTTATATCATGTTTCGACCAACCTCCAAGAAAAGCCTGGCAATCCTTGTCAATTACTAATAGAGTTCGATATCACAACCTCTAAGGCTTCGAGAACCTAGTAGTCTTAGTAGTTCATCTTCAATGAGCGCTTGCCTGTCAAATCTGAGGCTGTGAGTTGGAACCCTGCTCGTGCTTGACTCAGTCCTTAATTCACAAGGGTTGGCAGCTGTTTCCCTGTCGAAGGTTGAAAGTTCTCTTTGGGTACTCCAGCTTTCTCCACTTATAAAAACTGGTCGCCATGATAAAGCCAATATTTCTGAAACTGGCGTTAAGAAGCAACAAACAAATAAAAACAATGCATGCGAATACTGTAGGTGAACTTTTTAGAGTCACAAACAAACATAAATGTGAACCTATAACATGTATTTGTTTGGATTATAAAAGTAAAACTTCATGCTATTTTTTCATTATTTAGCAGAAACACCTTATTAATTTAGGTACATTTAATCTATACTTATGAACATATTGTATTTCATGTGATTCATGCATGGTCGTAAAAGTCATATAAGATAATAAGAACAGGTTGAACTCGGTCAGTTGACTGACCATTTACCAGACAAGGTCACATTCTTGACTGACCATGTTAGACTGAACAAATCCCCAGTGACATGAGAATAAAAAAGAATTCATATTATAGAACGTCGTACGGTTACATTCAATTTTGTAACTTAAACACGTGTATAGATGATTCGTGTATCCATACGTTTAAATAAAAGTGCAATAAGGACTACAGTCAGACATATCAGTATTAAACCAACCTAATTTCAAGGACCCTCTAACAACCGTGAAATGATAAACAGCTACGTTCCTTCAATATAATGGTTCGTCCTGAACATGCATGTAATGTTTGCCACTTTACGTTAAGCAACCAACAATCAATCAATCAATATATTGGTCATTTTTTTAACACGTGACTCTTATCTCTATACAAATGTCCATATCCTTTCTTTTCCAATATATATATACATGTACTAATTCGAATACTTTCCAACCATATTCAGGACAAAACATTTTAACCGTATGCACATATGCAGGTTCTGTTGTGAACTTTGTCGATACACTATGCCGAACTTCGAATGAGCTTTTCAACAAGGCAGCAGTACGCAGATCAACATGATCATCCGGACACAGTATTTCGGCTTCGAGCTGACCAGTTCCTTCTCCGAAGTTTGCAATTACTACCCCCAAATGATGACCGGAGTATAGAAATATGATCATCTGGTTTTACAGCTATAAGGTTGAAAACCCCATGCTAAGTAGGAACGTCCGTTTGGTTGTGTGCAATATACAAATACGGAGTTATCTTTGGTCGTGATGGAGGCATTCAAACAAAGGTATCAAACAAGAGAGGTTTTACGTTCTCTTCTTGCTAAATAACCATTACAACAGCTCCATGAGGGGTCAATTAATCACCTGTTGCCAGGCAAAATATCTGCCCCATTCGAATATTCCGTCTGTTTCGGTTAACATCTAAATATTAAGCCTTTATCAAACCTTCCCTCATTTGTCAGTTGCATTCTGAATTCAAAAACCTTCATCGAGTTGAAAAACATTGCAGAACGTACCTTTTTTCTTTGTTAATTATAACTTTAATTTTGTCCGGAATATGCATGGAATATTTGCCGCTAGACATTGAACAACTAGCGATCAATCCTTCGTTTATTTCGTTGTATGACGTCATGATTTTTGCAATAGCAGATTGAATACTTTGAACAATCTTTCAGTATCTTTCGAGCATAGTTTGAATATGCTTTAAGAATCTTTTGAGGATACTTGAACAAACTTTCAGTATCTTTCGAGCATACTTTGAATATGATCTCTGTATCCGTCTAGCATACTTTGAACAAGCTTTCAGTATCTATCGAGCATACCTTGAAATGGTCCTTTTAAGGTAGCTTTTTTGTAGTCTGTAATACCACCATTGCAGTGTTTTTTTACTCATTTATTCCGTATTCTACATACCGTTTAATATTTCTTTGGTTGAATAACAAAAATTGAGGTTTGTGTGTTAGATCTCAGGGAGACCTTGAATATATTTGAATAGATGTAACATGAAAATTATTGTATCATTCAAATGCATTTTTCCAATTGTTTGTTTAATATTGGTGTAAACCATTGTCCAACATGGACAGCGCGTGCTAAAGCTAAAACTCGCTCGTAACAAGATAATAATTTTTGTGCTTGTCTATCTAAAGTAATGATCCTCGTTAGGGCTTGCCATTTGTTATATCTATCTATTTTGGGTCCTTGAAATTTCGGCGGTCTGGATATTTTGAGACAGTTTAGAAATGTTATTTTCGTATAACTCACGGTGCTTTCTTAAATTTAACTTCCATGAAGAAAATATTTATATCTGCCCAACTTTAAACTTTTTTTTATTAACACGATTCATTTCTACATTATAATAAATAATTAAAAGAAAGAATAATTATGAAAAGGCTTCTAGATGCGATTTCTGGAATTTCCTTTAATTTTTAAAACTATCTTTTCTATCCAAATGAGAAAGAATATGAAGAGAGGCATATTTCATTGTAACATTTATAGATTGATGACAAAAAGAGAATGTTAATAGTTCCATATTAGGAGTCATGATCTGGAACAGACATACGGAATGTTTCTTTATGTAACAAAACTTATATTAATACTAGGCCAAGTCATGGCGACCTAACTAATACATAAGAAATGTTATATAAAGAAAAGATTGAATATTAAGTATGTCAGCTGACCTTGGACCATAATGTAAAAAATTCACAGTTTTATTTCTGATAAAACGTTATTAGCTTGGATTAAGAAATAATGTTAGTTTCTTATTTCAGTTTTAAACGATTTTAAAATTATGAATTATATTAGTGGAACTTCAAAGTACTTTTTAATTTAAAAGTTGTAATTATTCAAATTCCTTATATAAAGTATTTCAAGTAGGCAAAGCGAACAAATTTCAAATACTCAAAGCTGTTGAATTTGTTATATTGACAGAAGGCCGGTGGTACAAAAAAATATGTATTTCGAAGATCCTCTATATATGGAACAGAAAGTATAAAAGCATTTCTATGTTCATAACAATACTCAAAACAGTAAAACAAAATGATTGATAAATGGCTCAGCTCTCTTGGCTATATCGTGGCGGCCAGGTTTTGTTGGTGGGCGAAGCCGCAGTGCCCGTAGAGAAACATTGACCGTCGTCAAGAAATTTGGAAGTCCTTTTAAATAAAGATTGGAGTCAAAAGTACCTGTCTCGTGCCGGGTTCGAACTCAAAACCTCAGTGTTGACAGGTAAGTGATTGCCGAGGATGAAATACTTGCACCACTCGGCCTCT